AAGGGACAGAGGCTGGATTGGGCCACAGACCTTGAAGTTGGCTTCCATCTCAGAGAAGACACCAAGCTTTCCCCGAAGGGCAGTACACACCAGGCTGCAGGGAGACAGGGTAAGCCCAGAGGTGCTGGGGCCCCTACTCACGCCCCGGCCCGAGGACTCCCCACGGTCACCTCTTGTGCAGGTCCAGAAGGTCCTTGTCAGCCACAAGCATTTTGAGCTCCTTCAAGTCCTGGAGAAACTCCTTGTCTAGATCCACATCCATGTCATCCACCTGGGAGTCTGGGGGAGGCCCAGCAAGGGAATGGGGGTGGGGGTAAAAACCCCTCCGGTGATATCCGGAGCCTTCCACACCCGTCATCTCAGCGCACCCCGTGACAGAGAGAAGGGAGTGTCGGAAAGGTGGAGGGACTTGCCCCGGGCCACAGACAAGTGGCGGGCCCTTTGTCTGCAGACGAGCTGTGCGTGGGGACACGGCTATGAGCAACAGTGGCTGTGCTTCAGGCACTGAAGAAGAAAGGATGCTGGAAACTGGGGCCTGCAGGAGAAACTGTTGGCGGGGAACCAGGTCCTGAGAGGGTGGGGAGGTATCGGGCACCTGGGTGAGTGGGGGTCTCACCGACGGCTCCGAGGGTCCAGTTCTGGATCATCAGCTCAGCACAGTAGGCAAAGTCACCAAAGCTCAGATACTGCAGTTTTTTCTTCCCTGTCTCGAAACGGTTGTTGGCAAAGAAGACGATGGCCGCATAGTCCCTGCAAGGAGGGGAGAGTGAGCCTGTCAGGGTTTCAAATTCCTTTTTAGCGAGCAGCTCGAACCTGTGACATTGGCGGGGCATCCGACTTCCGGCCTGTCTCTGCCCCAGCTCACTATGTGACATGCTGCAAGCCACTTCTCTCTGGGCCTCCCCATCTGCATACAGAGGTTTCAGCCCAGGTCTCCTAAGGGGAACAGAGGGAGACCTGAGCATAACAGTTACCATTTACTGAGCACTTCCTAAGCCCCAGGGGCTGCAACACGGGATTTACGTGTGGCATCTCACAACAGCCCCGCTGGTAAATGGCCAGGCTGGAATCTGAAGCCAGGCCAGTCTGATCCAAAGCGCAGACCAGGAGAAGGAGAGCCATCCCCCAATGCAGCCAGGAGGTCAAGTGGGTTGGGGTGGGGAAAGTGGACCTGCCTTATGGCCCAAGGAAGAAGCTTGCAGGAAAGGGAGATGGCTGGCTCTTTGCCCAGCCCCTCACCTGGCCAACCGGTCAGACAGGAGGAAGTGTTGCTGAATGTTATCCACCAGGGAGCCCCGCATTTCCTCCACCACCTTGAAGACTCGCTTAAAGTTGTCAAACTGTAGGGCAGTTAGGGGAGGAAGGAGGGCTGGTCAGAGGCTGGTCATCCAACAAACTGATTACTGAACATCCTTCCCTCACCTATCCATCTATCCAGTCAACAGATGCTGACTTAGCATGTGGTATTCTTCAATAAACTATTAACTGTTAATACCTGTTATCAATTCAAGCATCTTGCCCTGGATAAATGTTTACTCACTCCTACCTCTGAATTCCCCCTATTTTAATTTTTTTTTTTTTTAAGATTTTATTTATTTATTTGAGAGAGAGGATGAGAGGAGAGAGAGAGCACATGAGAAGGGGGAGGGTCAGAGGGAGAAGCAGACTCCCTGCTGAGCAGGGAGCCCGATGCGGGACTCGATCCCGGGACTCCAGGATCATGACCTGAGCCGAAGGCAGTCGCTTAACCAACTGAGCCACCCAGGCGCCCTCCCCCTATTTTAGCATCATGCTCTCCAGTTCTTCATGAGCTCGTGTTGGAACTGACTCTCCTGGCTGAGGTCCAGGAAGTAAAAAAAAACAAAAAAACAAGCAAATGCTAAGCTGTTCAGGAGTGCACAAAAGCCACAGAGAAAAAATACTAAAGGCCCAGAAGGGTTACTTCTCCCTTCCGGGCCACCAAAAAGGCTTGTGGAGTAGGTGGCATCTGACCCCCTGCTTTGTATTTCAAGGGGTAGATAAGGTCAAGAATAGTACCCTCCAGGTAGGAGTAGCAGGAGCAAAAAGAGAGCCAGGGGCTGGAGAAATATAAGCGGAGAAAGGCTGGCAGAGACCAGATCACAGAAGAGTATGACGGTCAAGGCCAAGGAGTGTGGCTACTATCCAAGATGGAGTGGGAGAGTCAATTAAAGTTTACGAGGAGGGGAAAGCTATGGTCAGATCTGAGCTTCTGAAAGAGTAGCTCCCGCAGGGGAGTAGGAGATGCTTTGGAAGAGCAAAAAAAGGGACAAGAGACTGGGTATGAAGCCCCTGCCACAATCAGAGGTGGGGGAGGAGAACGGAGCTGGGGCAGTGACCAAAGGGATGGAGTGAAGGGACAGACTGGACATGGGATGTTGTGTTGGGGGGCAGAGATGCAGTGCCCACTTGTCTCCGGCAGCTCTTGAGGGTGATGCCTGTTTTGGTGCTGATGTCGTCCAGGTCCTTCTTGGTGCCCTTGGACAGCTTCTTGCCCAGGACCTCCCGCACAAAGGCCTCGTCAAAGGCATAGTACCTGCGTGGAGGCAGAGGACACCACTGACTTTCCACATAGGAGGGAAACGGGGGTCCGGCAGGGCCTAGGTTTGGCCCCTCCTGCTCTCAACTTTCTCAGCCCTTGTGTAAGTCCCATCCCAACCCGGGCCTCAGTTTCGCCCTGCAAAATGGGTATATGGTCAGCCTGATGGGTGTCCCACCTCTCGATGAGCAGCGCCTGTCGGGAGGGCGGGATCTGGAAGATGAGCTGGTGCAACAGCTTGGGCGGTGCGTGCAGCAGGCGCTCGAGCATGTGGAAAGTACGGTAGTGGTCCATGGTGTCGCTCTGCAGCACGGCCGCCGTGGCGCCTGTCTGCTCCAGGATTCCCGAGCGCACCCTCAGGGCCACCGCGTCGCTCACTGGGGAGCGGGCGCCAGCATTAAGCCCCGCTCCGCGAACCCACAGGCCCTCGGGGGATCCCAAGTCCGACTTCTAAACACCCCTTACTCCCTCTGCCCACTTCCCCAAAGGACGGGAGTCCTGGCCCCGCCCTCTCCCGTCCCAAACCACCGCCCCTCCTGACCCGCTCCGCAGACGGCCCCCCACACACCCGAGTAACCATCCAGCCAGAGGCGATACACGTCCTCGTCGATGAGGGTCGTGTTCCCTACGAAGATGTCCAGCTCGCTGGTCATGGCGACGCCCAGACCCGGGCGCACCTGCAGAGCCCCGGTGGGAGCGAGCACTGCCCGGGCCGGGCGCGCCGCCCGCAGGCTACTTCCGGGAGCGCCGAGATTCGGCTCCCGGCACCCGGAGCCAGAGAAGGACCACTTCCGGGACAGAGAGGGTGGGGGCAGAAGCGGCGAAGGAAGAGGAGTAGCCCCTCCTCCCGGAGGGAGGGGCAATCCCAGGCTCCTCGTCCCCGCCCCTCATCCTGGCCCAGTTTGCAGGAAGACTTCGGGAGTCGAGGCCAACGGCCAGTCTCCCCTGCGCTGGCAGCCTTCCCCCACACTTCCTTCTGGCTTTTCTCCCACTTTCTCTGCCCTTTTCTGGGCCTCCCTACTTTGACGTGTATCTTAAATGTAGGGGTTTCACAGGTCTCTGTCCTAAATCTTTTCTCTGCAAAAAATGTATCTGACCTAACTTCCAAGGGGCCTTGCTGGGAGCGCCTCAGTCCATCCTGCAGCTGAGCAACTCTCCTGGGCATGGGGCACGTGCTCCCATGGTTTTAACCCCCCAAACCCCACCCCCCTGCACTAATGACTTCTCTTACTCTGTAGCTCAGAGCTCTGGCTGGAAGTCCACATCAGAGGGCTGCCTATCTGCTCGTCTTTCTACGCTGTCTACCCTACAGGTCCCTCAAAAGCTAGACAGGTCTCTTTCCAATCTGTTTCTTTCCTGCGTTCCTATCTCAGTGACAGTCCCAACATTCACCCAGTTCTCATCCCAGAACCCTGTGCTTTCTCCCAGAGTCCTCACTCCTCACATTCAGGTCTGCTGATTTGCCTCCTGAATATTTCTAGGATGTTTTGTCCTCTCCACCCCTACTGGCACTGTCCCAGCCCAGTCCTTCTGCATAGCTCTACCTTGCCCATTGACACAGTGTTCTTACTAATCTCCCTGCCTACGTCTCTTCCCCATGGTTCATCCCACACAGAGCAGCCGGAATAATTTTTTTTTTTAAGATTTTATTTATTTATTTGACAGAGAGAGAGAAAGCAAGAGAGGGAACACAAGCAGGTGGAGAGGGAGAAGGAGAAGCAGGCCTCCCATCGAGCAGGGAGCTCGATGCGGGGCTCGATCCCAGGAACCTGGGATCGTGACCCAAGCCTAAGGCAGACGCTTAACGACTGAGCCACCCAGGCACCCCCGGAATAATTTTTTTAATGCATATTTTAAAATGTTACTCCCCTGCTTAAAATCCTACTGGCTGGCCTGTGGCAACGCTCCAGCCAACTACCTTTGTTGCTTCTCTCCCTCATTTTACCATTTTCTCCACACAACTACCTTTTGAAAACATCGAGCTACTCTCACGGTTCCTAAAGCAGCTAGGCCCCCAGTGTCTTTCACCATGCTATTCCCGCTCCCTGAAATAGCTTTCTCTTTACTTGCCAAACTCCTATACATCTTTCGGGGCCCCTCAGATTACCACCTCTTTGGGGAAACCTTTTTTTGGGGGGTGGAGATCCCTCAGACCATGCCCATCCCCCGTTTACTTCTGGTTTTACCCAGCCTGTCTCCCCCACTAAATTACGACCCCTTTGGGCGCTTGAGTGGCTCAGTCGGTTAAGCCTCTGCCTTCGGCTCAGGTCATGATCCCAGGATCCTGGGATTGAGTCCAGGGTCAGGCTCCCTGCTCAGCGGGGAGTCGTCTTCTCCCTCTCCCTCTGCCCCTCCCCCCTGCTCGTGCTCTTTTTCTCTCTCTCAAGTAAATAAATAAATAACATCTTTAAAAAAATAAATTACGACCCCTTTGAGGACAGGATCAGAATCTTAGTCAAGTTTATTTCTGCCTGAGCTTTGCATACAATAAAAGTTTATTGAACAAATGAATCCCTGTATGCGCCTCCCCCCGGGCAAGAAAATTTCCATGAAAGGGCAGGCTGATGCTGAGTCACGCACGTCTGGACTCGGCTCCAAAGAGCTGGGAGAGATGTTCAGTGAGCCGAGACTCTCGAGTATGAACTATGCTAGGAAAGTTGGTAACGAGATACGTCTGGGTGCCGTCGAGGGGTGGGCAGGAGAGTCAGTGGCCGACGCCGCAGTCTTGGTTCTCAGAAGGAGCTGAGAGGCCTAGGCGAGAGCTTGAGGAAGTTTGGAACTGGGAAGTACGAAGCGCCTAGTTTGGGGTCACCTGTCGGAGGGTGGTGGCGCTGGGACACAGCGTCCAAGACGGTCCGTAACTCCGCGGTCCGGAGTGGGCGGGGAAGTGGCTCTCTCTTTCTCTGTAGTCTGCGCTCAAGCCCCGCCCCTTTCCGGGGAGCCTTCCCTGGATTGGCTGTCCTTCCTTAGCGTCATACGGCCCCGCCCCGGCGCGCGCCCCGCCGCGTGCCCACCCCCGGGGGCTGCTGCAGCCTACGCTATACTGCCACAGCCTGCCGCCCGCGGAGCCCGAGCCCGACCCGGAGCGCGCAGAGCTCGACTTGGGCTCCTGGGCCGCGGCGGCGGGCAGGCAATGCTCCAGAGGCCTGAGCAGCCATGGAGGCCGAGGCGGGCGGCCTGGAGGAGCTGACGGACGAGGAGATGGCGGCGCTGGGCAAGGAAGAGCTGGTGCGGCGCCTGCGGCGGGAGGAGGCGGCGCGCCTGGCGGCTCTGGTGCAGCGCGGCCGCCTCATGCAGGAGGTGAATCGGCAGCTGCAGGGTCACCTGGGCGAGATCCGCGAGCTCAAGCAGCTCAACCGGCGCTTACAGGCCGAGAACCGTGAGCTGCGCGACCTCTGCTGCTTCCTGGACTCGGAGCGCCAGCGCGGCCGGCGAGCCGCGCGCCAGTGGCAGCTCTTCGGGACCCAAGCATCCCGAGCCGTGCGCGAGGACTTGGGCGGTTGTTGGCAGAAGCTGGCCGAGCTGGAGGGCCGCCAGGAGGAGCTGCTGCGGGAGAACCTGGCGCTTAAGGAGCTCTGCCTGGCTCTGGGCGAGGAGTGGGGCCCCCGGGGCGGCCCCGGCGGCGCTGGGGGCTCAAGCGCCGGGCCGACACCCGAGCTCGCCTTGCCCCCCTGCGGGCCCCGCGACCTGGGCGATGGAAGCTCCAGCACTGGCAGCGTGGGCAGTCCCGATCAATTGCCCCTGGCCTGCTCCCCAGATGACTGAGGGCTCAGCTTCCTTCACGTCGACGCTCGACCAGACTGCTTCCCAAGCGCCGGGACTGAGGTGGACCTCGGGACCTGGACGCCGTCCCGCCTGCGCACGAGGGGCCGCTGGCATGGATTTGGAAACTCTGGCACCAAGGAGGGCCCCTCGCTCTCGCTGGTGGGGCAGCAGGGGGACTGGAGGCTGGAAAGAAGGGACTTGCTGGGGGCGGGGTGGGGGCTAATAAACTGGAACGGAAGCAGAGCCCGTGGCCTGGGCAGCGTCTGTTTGGGACTCGCCGGGGTGGGGACGAGGGCGGGGACGTTGAGACAGGGTACCATTCCCATCCGGAGGGGCTGCAGACCTAAGGTGGCTGACTCCCCCACTACCTCAAGCCTGGGGCGGGATGTGGGACCGTGGTAAGCCCCTGGCTCCCCCCATTAGGCTCGGGACAGGCAGTGATCCGGCCCCTGAAGTGGCTCCAGCTCCCTTCCCGGCTCCTTCCTGTCCAAGACAATGGGGCAGGAAGCAGGTGTTGGGGGCCTAGAACCCACTCAGCGGCCTCCCCCGAGGCTGGACGGGGCATAACAGCGCCCTCCTGTGGCCCATGCAGGAGCGCTGTGGGCCCCCATCAGGAGGAAGATGATAATCCTTTTGGCTTGCACCCAACAGCACTCTATTCCTCCTCTCAGTCTTAGAGACGAGGCAGAGCAGATGTAACCTCATTTGTCAGATAAGACAACCGAGGTCCAGAAATATCAAATAATTTGTCCAAACTCATGCAGTAAGTCCACAGAGCTGAGACGGGAGCCTCGGGCTTCTGGTTCCAAATGTTCTCCCTTTTGCCTCTGGGTTCAATGAGACCAGGCCAGAACTTCGAGCCTTTTATTGCATTTTGGCCGGTTTGTATAAAAATACTCTCTGTGGGAAAATAAATAGCAGCTGCCTTCGTTGTGGAGGCTTGGATTCCCTGGAGCTAAAGTCTTCTCAGAGCTGGGGGGGGGGGGCTGCAGGTCAGCTCATCACAGAAGCCTCTGGCACTCTCCTGCCATTCAGGAGGGGCCAGCAGAATGCCCTGGTTCAATCACTTGGTGCTGCTGGCAGTGTGGGGCTGGGTGAGTTAGTGTTCTAGGCTGGTAGAGTATCATCTTCTGTCAGAGTAGGATTGGGTGGATCACAGGAAGAGGGTGATGAAGACTGTAGGTGTGGTCTGGAGGGGCTTAGGGCTCTAGAGGACCTCTAGGGATCTACAAAGTCCTTTTTGGTCGCCAGGAGTTCCCTCGCACAAATGGGAAATATTTTGTCTCTGATTTAGTGCAAATTATGCTAGAGAAGCCAGCTCTGGAAAAACAGTGGGCAGCTTTGGTGGCCCCAAGCTGACTCTCCTGGGAAGCAAAATATGCTCAGTCTCATCTGGAGGGATGGAGAAGAGCCTGCTGGGGATGGGCGTGGGATATGGTCCAGACCAGCTGGACCAATGGGTGGGGAGACATTGGCTAGAGTGGGACCCGCCGGTAGGGGGCTGGGGTGCCTCATAAGGCAAGGAGGGTGGGGGAGCCGAGAGGGTCAGAGGATGGGTCCCCGCTGCTGCTGCTACTCCTGCGATGGGCTGAGGCGCAGGGCTCAGGGGTGCTGGGGTAGGTGAAGACCGGACTAGGGGTGAAAGGAGTCAGGGAGGGTGTGGTCATGAGCGTGGGGGTGTGCAATGCTTCGGGTTCAAGCACAGGCCCCGAGGAAAGAGAGATACAAGGTACAGGGCAGGAGGGAGCTGGCGGGCTGCTGGTGCCGCTGGCACCGCCCCGGCCGCCCGTGTCGCTCTCGGTGGCCCTCTCCGGGATTTTGCAGATGGGGCGGTGGGCTTCAAGCACCAGCTCCAGGCGCTCCTTCTGCTTCTGCAGCTCCTCAATCTCTCGCTGCAGACCGGATTTCTCGTCCTCCAGTTTGTCAGTCTCCTGTGGAGGGTTAGGAGAGGAGTTAGAAGAGGAGGGCTGCATACCGCGTAGCCTCCGGAGGTGGTGGTAATTGAGGGGTGGGGGTGGGTCTCCAGCGAGTCTGGACTACAACTCCCATGAGCCCTTGGGAGAAATGGGCTCGACTCCCATCAAGCCCCGGAGCATCTTAGAAGGAGGTTGTCCGCCGAAGCTCTAGCTCTCCTCGGCTTTGCTGGGAGTGAGGCGCGCTGTAACTAATTTTTAATCGCTTTTTCCTCGTCGTGTTCTCCGAAGGAATGCTCCTCCGACGGGAGCCTGGGGGAAGGGGACTTCATATACGGGCTCCCCCTGGGGCCCCGCAGGCTCAGGGGAGTCACGGCCCTCTGAGGTTCGGTGGGCCGGGGCCTGGACACCCTCCGCACCGGCCGGTGCTCACCGCCTGCAGGAAGTCGGTCAGTTCCTTCCTCCGGTTCCTGCACTTGGCCGCGGCCAGCTTATTCCGCTCGCGCCTCACTCGACGGCGCTCCTCCTCCTCCGGGCTGATCTGGACGGGTGGAGGAAGTAGTGAGGTAGACCCTGGGCCACTGGTTGCCCGGCACTCGCCTTGTGCGGTGGCCCAGTGCTAGGACCCTGGCGGAGGACATGGCGGTGCAGCCCCCCCCGCCCCCCCGCGCCCCTGCGCTTCAGGGATCACACTGCACCGCGACCGGTTCCCCGCACTCACGCTTTAGTAAGATGGAATTAATCAGATTCCCTCCTCGCACCCAGCTTTTGCCTCCTCTGATTTCTCTCTCAGAATGCCCCCCCCAACACACACACTCCACAAACCTTTACACCGCCCCCCGCCCATCTCTCAGGACTCAACTGAGATACCCCCACTCTTCCAGGAAGCTTTCTCTCATTGTCCAGCCAGAAGTGGTCTTTCTTACTCTGAGCCCCTGGGAACCAATCGCTCTTTCTCGAAGGACCCTCATTCTTTTCAATCTCTTGACAACCAAGTGTCCTTTTCCGCAGAGATTGTGAGCACTAGGAGGGATTCATGAGTGTTGTGGCTAAGCAAGTTGTTTTTTTATTAGGAACCTATTACATGCCGGCGGAAGAGTTTTACACAGATTCTTAACCCAACTTTCCATGTAAGGAACTGAAGCCTGGAGAGGATGAATAACGCGTTTATGGTCCCAGGGCAGAAACTAAAATCCACTCACTCTATTCAACACTGAGAGGCCTGCTGATGGAGACCACCTCCCCCAAAAGAACCCCACTTAGAGCTCACAGCCCCAGTCTAGGAGTCCCAGAAACAGAGAGCGCCCCTGAGGACAGGGCTGAAGAAGTCCAGGAGCCTGCCTCTGGGGCTCACAGCATGGTTCTCTTCTCCAATTGGTCACAAAGTCTTGTCTAACTGCACATCTTTCCAAGATCCTGACCTCTCTCCTCTTCTACCCTGCTGTCAGGATAAGCTCCCTATGCGCAAGCCTCACTCCGCTACAGGCTCACATACCAAAATGAAGGAGGAGCCACTCCCTTAAAGGCCCTCTATCTCTTATTTATTTTGGTAAAGACTTTTTTTTAGCACTGTGGAAGCTGGAGCCCTGGTTGGGGAGCCAAGAGTTCCCAGCTCACTCTGCTTTGAGCCTCTGTTACCTCTGGATGAGATAGTGTGGCTTGATGGTTAGGATCTCACTTTAGAATTAAAAGGACCTGGGGCGCCTGGGTGACTCAGTCCTTAAGCGCCTGTCTTAGGCTCAGGTCATGATTCCAGCGTCCTGGGATCGAGCCCCACGTTGCGCTCCCTGCTCCGAGGGAGGCCTGCTTCTCCCTCTCCCACTCCCCCTGCTTGTGTTCCCTCTCTCGCTGTGTCTCTCTCTGTCAAATAAATAAATAAAATCTTTTTAAAAAAATAGAATTAAAAAGACCTGTCTCATTGCTCACTACTTGTGTGATCTGGGCAAGTGACTATCTCTCTGTGCCTTCATTTCCCAGCTGTAAAATGGAGAAAACCAGAGTGCATTCCTCGGAGGCGTTTTGTAAAGATTAAATGAGATAGGGAAACTTAGACCCAGAGAGTAGCTGCAGGGAACCCTCCCCTTTCTGTTCTCTCCCCACCTCCCTAGGCAGCATATGTTCACCATCACCATACATGTCAGCAGGTGGAGACCCTCTACCATCCACCCACCTTTCCACATGCACACCTTACATGTTCTCGCCTCCACCTCCATTCTTGCTCCTGCCATCCTCCCTACCTGGAATGTCTTTTCCTTCATCTCTACCTATGCAAATCCTACCCATCCTTCCAGGCTAATATACCTCCAGCTCCAGAAAGCTTTCCCTGATCTAGAAGTGACCTCTTTGCCCTCTGGATCACCCCAGGGGCTCCTATTACTTTCTCCCTTGGCCAGGAGTCACCAGTGGCCCCACCTCCCCATCTCCCCCCTTTCTAAGCCTGTGTTCTTTTGGCCAAGAACCTGTCCTCTGCACCTCAGCATCCTTGTGGGCATCAGAACCAGTACAACGCCTCTGCTCCTTACCTGTTCACTGGGCCGTCGACGAACCCCTGGAGGTGGCCCAAGGGCCCGGATGACTCCTGGCCGGGGCTGCGGGGGGCTGTACTGGGGGTAGGCCAGAGGCCTGGGGTAGCTGCTGGGTCCCAGGAAGTGAGGTTGCACCATCCATTGCAGCTCCTGGCTGCCACTCACAGCGTTGATGCTTGGCACGAGGTGGAACTTCTGAGGGATGAGAAATGGAAAGCCAAGGATGAGGTCTGTGTAGACTGAGGGTTTTCACTGGACAGAAGCCACCCCGCCATCCACCCTCAATGCAGCTGCTGCTTCCGAGAGACCGGAAAGAGCACAACTTGACAGAGAGACTGACTTGGTGACAAATCCCTGCTTAAGAGCTGTGTGACTTTGGGCAAGTCTCATAACCTTGCCGTGCCTTCATTGTCCTAGCGGAACGTACTATAAAGTATGAATTCCAGGCACTGTCCCAACCACTTTACAAATACTGACTCATCTAATTTGCACAACAGTGTCTTCATTTTCAGTCGGGAAAACAGTTGTCCATAAACACATAGCCAGTAAGTGGGAAGTGGGGTTTGGGCCCAGACATACTCCTGTACTCTGCCTGAATCCCACCTGCACAAAGAGGAGAATTCCAACTCCTGTCTCCAAGGCTGGCTGAGAGAATCCGGTGAGAGAATGTGTGGGACAGGGCCTGGTAAGTGGCAGGTGTCCAGTGCCCAGGCGCTGTGGTGGGCAAGAACCACTGCCTTGGGTTTAGGCTGTCCCAGTGAGCTCTTAGCTCAGCCACTTACTGGCCATGACTCTGGGCAAGTTATTTAACCTCAATGTGCCTCCGTTGCCTTACTTTTAATATTGTTGTAGGTGAGGATTATGGCATTTCATTAATGCTAAGAGATGCCCTTTAGTAGCTCTGAAATCACAGTTCACTTGGCAGCTTTAGAAAAATTTAGTGGCATTGGGGCACCTGGGTGGCTCAGTTGTTAAAAGAGTCTGCCTTCAGCTCAGGTCATGATCCCAGGGTCCTGGGATCAAGTCCTGTATTGGGCTCCCTGCTCCACGGGAAGCCTGCTTCTCCTTCTCCCACTCCCCCTATTTGTGTTCCCTCTCTCGCTCTCTCTCTCTGTCAAATAAATAAATAAAATCTTGAAAAGAAAAGAAAAATGTAGCGGCACAATATAATGGTGGGTTTTCAAATCAATGAATTCTTAGGTTCTGTGAAATACGGTTAATGAGGTACAAACCTCCCCGACCATGCAGGCTGCACTGTATGAGCTCCATGTATTTATTACCTGCCAAGATTTTCTTTCAGCCAGAAATCTGAGGAAGGGCTTGAGATGGGGATTCAGCATTGGGGAGGAGAACTGGGTTCAAGCCTTGGGGCTGGGCCCTGGCGCCCAGGCCTCCGGAAGCGTGCCACAAGCCCAGGCAAGTCCAGACAGCGGTGTCCCCGGCCCAGCGCTGCGGGCCCGGTGGCCCAGTGACCCCAGTTCCGGGATTGAGGCACCGCCGGCGGCGTCTCCCGCTCCCGAGGTAGTCCGGGCCCGGGCCGCTCCGGGCCAGGAAGGGAGGGGCGCCCCGGGTGAGTCAGCCACCGTGACTCGGCCGCTGTGACTCGGCGGAACGGACGCCGCTCCTTCCCTCCCCTAGCGACACGTGCGCGCTGCCCCTCGACAGGAAACGGGCACCTGCAGCCACCCAAGTCCCCCCAGCCTGCAGCGGGGCGCCCTTCGGTGACGAGAGTCGGGGGCGCCGGAGCTGCCCGCTGCAAGACCCTGCGCATGTCCCGGCATCTCTCAGTCTCCACTGGCCCCAGCCTGTAAATTAGGGGTCGAGAACCAGTCTCCGGGATCCCACCAGGCTCCACTGCGCCAAGAAGGGGATAGGGACTTGGCGGGGTAGATAGAGGGGGACAGACAAACGGACACACAGATGGTCACAGACTGCGCTGAGGATTCCCAGTCTGTCGGGGCTAGCCTGCCGCTGGATCCCGCCTCCCTCCTGCGTGGGGACTTCTCGGCCTCAGCCCAGACTTCGGACCCCCGGAATTTCGTCCGCGCTGGATCAAACCCTCTGCTCCTGTCGGAGCTGGGACTAATCCCGGACTAAGGGGCGTCCTTCTGACGCAGACAGGACAAAGAAATTAGTCGTGGACGGGAGGAAAGAAAGAAGGTAACAGAGACGGCGGGACAGATGGACAGCAGACAGCGAAGGAAAAAGGGGCCAGCGAGAGGGGACATTCGCAGATCCTTGTTGCGCCCGCCGCGAGCATTCCCCTGAGCTGCGGGGGAAATGTGCCTCTAGACCGTGGAGAATGGGCAGTATCCGCGGCCGCGGCCACGGCCACGGCCACGGCCACGGCCCCAGACCCAGTCCCTACTCCTGTTCCCGACCCCAATCCCAAAGTGTGCGGAGCCGACCGCAGCGTCCCAGGCGCTGTCCACCCGGGAACCCCAGGCGTCGGGTCCCTCTCACCTGCTGGCCTGAAGGGGGGGGCTGCGCCGGGCCGCCGTACGCACCGCCGGCCCCGGAGCTCGGTCCGGGTTCCCCAAAGTCTCGGAACATGCCCTGGCTGGCTGCTTTGTGGGGTCCGCGTCGCCGGCTTCGGTTCTGACTCACTTGCTCCTCGCGGAGTCTTTTCTTTTTATGAATGAAAAGTTCTCGGGCTGAACCACTTCGATTGCGGGGGGGGGGAGCGGGCGATTTTCAACGGCACTGGACACCTCAGGGCTCCACCTCCCCAGACGCGCCGCCTTTTGCCAGTCCGCGCTGAACTTGTCTACGCCTCCTACAGTCCGGTAGCCGCCTTTTAGTGGGGGAAAGCGACGGACCCGGCGTCCCCCACGACAGCGGCGGTCTGCCCCTTCTGACGTAGTTACCCATACATGGTGCAATTTCCTCGCCGCGCCCAGGTGGAACCGAGGATTCCCCCGAGGATTTACGCACCTGTAAGCTGCTGGGCGCCCGGCCCCACCCCGCCGGCGAGCCCAGGCTTTGGGCCCGCCTTCCCAATTCGGGGCGCGGGCCCCGGAGCCCACTCACCGCCTGGTCTGGCCTTAGTTTTGGCATCCGTCATATGGGGCGAGAGAATCACGCCTTGCAGCGCGTGAGAGGTTGAAATGAAGAATGAGAAAGGGGTCCGGAAACAGTGAAGTGGATTATAAATGTGATTGTGGTGGTTATTATTTTATTTGCTGGGTGCTTACTTCATGCCAGGAACCCTGCTACTGGCATCTAAGATTCAGGTATACTAAAAAGTGGAGAAGTGATAAACCAGGCTTACCGGAAGGGAAATGTTTACAATGAACAAGTTAATGGTTTGAACTATCCACAAATACAAGGCAACATGACCGTGCTACTCATAGGATAATTTCAGAAGTTATAACAAGTTTTAATTCAGAGCCTCCATAAGCGGTTAAGAGCCTGTAGAGCCTGCAGCGGGACACAGCTGTCCTGTGGTCTGATAAGTGCCATCTTCTGTAAATACCGTCACCATTCTCTGGGGGCTGTGTGGTCAACAGCCTTATTTGGAGATTATGTCAAAGGTCTGTATGAATGTGAGGCTGGGGCCAAATTTCAACAACCAAGGCCAACAACCCTGGGGAGTAGGTACCATCGTCATCCCCATTTTACAGATGGGGAAACTAAGGCTGAGGGATGTTGAAATGAAGTGCCTAATGTCCCTAAGAGAGTGGCTGAAGCAGGTTGCCAAATCAGGGCTGTGGGAGCCCCAAGCCCACGCTCAGTCAAGATTTCTCAAAGCCCTCCCAAACACTTTTTCACCGGGGCAGAATGTCAGTGCTGAGAGGAGCACCCCAAAACTTCTCTGCTTCCTCCCACTGCCAGGGTCACACAACTACAGAAAGAGAGCTGGGCTCTTCTGCGCTCCACTGCTACCTCCATTTGATCAGCTCCAGTTTTGTCCTCAGGGAAGGAAGAGTTTGGGGAAGCAGGGTCCTGGGCTGCCCTCCCTGGGGTCTGTGGGTGCACTCAGGACTCAGACACAGAAGGCCAGCTTGGCCGTGGGCTTCCAGTCCCCAAGCTACCATTTTCTGTCTCTATGACCCTGGGTGGGTCACCTACCCTTTGAGTCCCAGGCCCAGTGGGAGTGATTGAGCCTCCTGCTGACCTCATGGGGTTGCTATAGGATCAAATGAAATCATAAATGTGAAAATGCTTTGTAAGCTCTAAAGTGCTGTTTGCTCAGAAGGTGGTTGCCAGCTTGGTGCCTCTTCCTTGCCCTTATTCTACTCAATGCTTGTCTTTCTCTAAGAAGAAACCAACAGCAGTTTACCAGAATGAGAAATGGAGAGGTGAAAGAGACAGAGGGAGAGAGAGAGTGATTTGAGGCAGTGTGATCCATGGAAAAGAACATGCATGCTGAAATCAGACAGCTCTGGGTTCTGGAGTTTGAATTTTGGTTAGGCTGCTCACCAGCTGTATGATCTAGATGAGACACACAATCTACATGTCAGGGTTGTTACAGAATAGAAATAAAATAATACCACATGTTTAGCCCGGCATATAGTAAGAACTTGACAAATAGCAAAACCAGGGATGCCTGGGTGGCTCATTCACTGAGCGTCTGCCTTCGGCTTGGGTCATGATCCCAGGGTCCTGGGATTGAGCCCCACATTGGGCTCCCTGCTCACTGGGAAGCCTGCTTCTCCCTCTCCCACTCCCCCTGCTTGTGTTCCTGCTCTCGCTATCTCTCTCTGTCAAATAAATATATAAAATCTTAAAAAAACACACACAGCAAAACCAAATACACATGTTAATAAAAAGCTCCAAAAGTGGGAGCCCTTGGGGTTCTGATCACATTCCAAGGCAGTCATGCAGCACATACACACTAACTGATGTTTGAACTCTTTGGCTGAGCCCAAGTTGGATGGGTCAAGGTGACAAAGGCGGTCTGGTGGTGGCACATGTGAGGACTGACACAGGTCAGCCTCGACTGCATACATCTGCCTGATCCAGAAACACCACCCTGTCCCACTCCCCCCAGCATCCTGGGGCAGTGACTGAGCTCAGGGGCTCAGGTCTCAAATCTGTGTGTGTGTGTGTGTGTGTGTGTGATTGCGTGGTTCTGAAAGTCCCTTCCTGCCCTAACCGTTGGTGGAGCCACAAGGAGGACCTTTCAGAGGCAGCACATTCCAAGCTCCTCAGTCACTAACTTCTGCTTCGCGGCTGCAGAAACGTTCCTGGCCCCTGACCTCACCAGCTCCCACCCAGGGAGGCCAGGCGAGATTCCCAAGGGGCCACCGTGATTGCAGGAGTCCAGGGGCCCAGAGGTCTGAGAAACTAGGGCACTGTCCCTTGGCACCTTGTGTGAGCCTGGCTCAGTCACTTCCCTCCCTGAGCTCCAGAGAATGCCCATCTCTTGGGGCTGCAGTGAGGCAAATGGAGGCGATGGATGAGTGTGCTTGGCACCCAGCAAGTTCTTGTCAGTGCCCCTAGGATGTGAGGTGATGTTTGTGCGTTTCATTTTCCATTCACTTTTTATTTTTTCAAAGATGTATTTATTTATTTGAGAGAGAGAGATTGGGGGGATGGTGCAGAGGGAGAGGGAGAGAAATCCTTAAGCTGACTTCCCACTGAGCATAGAGCCCTACTTGGGCTCGATCCCAGGACCCTGTGATCATGACCTGAACTGAAATCAAGAGTTGGACGCTTAACCCACTGAGCCACTCAGGCACCCCTCCATTCACTTTTTTTTAAAGATTTTATTTATTTATTTGACAGAGAGATAGAGAGATTGAACAAGGCAGAGGGAGAAGCTGACTTCCCGCTGAGCAGGGAGCCCAATGAGGGGCTCGATCCCAGGACTCTGGGAACATAACCTGAGCTGAAGGCAGCTGCTTAACCGACTGAGCCACCCAGCGGCCCCTCCATTCACCTTTTAAATTGAAGTTCATTTATTTTATAAATGAGGTTGAAATTTACATAACATACAATTAACCATTTTAAAGCATAGACTTCAATAGAATTTTGTGCATTCACAATGTTGTGCAACCACCACTTCTCTCTAGTTTTCAAAACTTTTTTATTATACCAGAAAATCATCCCCTTCCCATGAAGAAATCACTCCCAATTGCATTTCCTGGGAACCACTAATCCTCTTTCTGTCTCTATGGATTTGCCTATTTTGTACATTTCATATAAATGGAATCATACCAAATGTGACCTTCTACATCTGGTTTCTTTCCCTTAGCATGTTTTCCAGGCTCATTTATGTTGTCGTATGTATAAATACTCTGTTCTTTTTTATTGCTGAATAATATTCTATTGTATGGATATACCAATTATTTATTTATTCATAAGTTGATGGACATTTGAATGTTTCTCCTTTTGGGGTATTATGACTAAGGCTGCTATAGACATTTGTGTACAAGTTTTTGTGCGGACATATGTTTCATTTATTTTGGGTATGTACCTAAGAGTAGAATTGCTGGCTCATATGGTAATTCTCTGTTTCACCTTGTGAAAAACTGCCAGACTGTTTTACAAAGCGGTTGCACCATTTTACATTCCTACTGGCAGTGTATGAGGGTTCTAATTTGCCCACATCCTTGCCAACATTTATTATTTCCGTTTTTGAAATGAAAGACATCCTAGAGGGTGTGATGTGGTATCTCATTGTGTTTTAATTTGCGTTTCCTTAATAACAGACCATGTTCCTTAATGATGAATATCTTTTCATGTGCTTTTTTGCTATTTATATATACTTTAGGGACGAATGTCTATTCAAGTCCTCTGCCCATTTCTAATTTTTTTTTAAGTTGGCTCCATGCCCAATGTAGGGCTTGAATTCACAACCTGAGATCAAGAGTCCCATGTTTTACGGACTGAGCCAGCCAGGCACCCCTAATTGTTTGTGTGTGTGTGTGTGTGTGTGGTTGTTGAATTATAAGAGTTCTTCATATATTCTGGCTAGCAAACCCTTATTAAAAATATGATCTGCAGATATTTTCTCCCATTCTGTAGGTTGTCTTTTCACATTTTTCAGAACACCCTTTTTTTTTTTTAAGATTTTATTTATTTATTTGACAGAGAGAGACACAGCGAGAGAGGGAACACAAGCAAGGGGAATCGGAGAGGGAGAAGCAGGCTTCCCGCTGAGCAGGGAGCCCAAAGCGGGGCTTGATCCCAGGACTGAGCCGAAGGCAGACGCTTAAGGACTGAGCCACCCAGGCGCCCCTTCAGAACACCCTTTGATGCACAAAAGTTTTTAACATTTTTATGAAGTCCAATCTCTGTTTTTTTCTTTTGTTGCTCATTCTTCCAGTGTCAGAGCTATGAATCTACTGCCAAATTTGAACATTTACCCCCATGTTTTCTTCTACTTGTTTTATAATTTTGGTTCTTATATTTTGGTTCCTGGCTAAATTGAAGTTTAATATACATCTAGTGAAGTGCGCTCATCCAACATGTTCAGCTCAATGACTTGT